AGGGATATGTACGGAGGTGACCCCTGTCGGGGTCTTGGGGGAGGGGAAGGTCTTGCTTGGGTAGATTTTCTGGGGGCTGGGAATGTAAGGGAAGGTGGGTGAGTAAGTGAGTGAGTGGTCTTTTGGGAGGGAGGGGTTAGTAGTGTTTAAGGTGACAATGGATTTGGAGGGTTGAGGTTGGAGGAGGGTATGTATATGATGGTGATGTGTTCTCGGTGAGGCCATGGGGAGGAATGGATTATCAGTATCACCGTTATCTATTCTAAGGTGGATATGAATGATATATGGAAGAAGAAAAAGCGCTGTGAGTGGTTTGTTTGAACAATTGATCTATATCATGTTGCTCTTCTGAAGATATTCGTTTGACGAAATAGATAAGCTAATAATGTTCGTGAACAAGTATAAGCATCCGCTCTAAGTATTGAACAAGTTTACTCTGCGTTTAAACATTGATTTTTCTTTCCCATTCCTAGGTCTTATAAGTGAGTAGCCTATACAAGACATCGAGTCTGCTAGCTTCCGAAAAACATAGTCGTACATAGCAGATCCGGTGAATGTATAAAATATTGAATTTCGTAGAGCTCATAGACGTAGGTGGAGTCAGTGAGCTATATGAGGGTTTTTTTAATAGCTGTTTTGCTAGACTAATTCTTGTTCTCTCAATGACATTTGTGTTGAGCAATATCAAGAACGATTGATTCTATGTGAGTCCTCTTTAGTTTAACTATTGCTGTTCGATGGCCGAAACTTTTATGTAAAACCTACAGAATATTTTTGGTCGGGTTTATAATGCATGCATTGTAAATGCTCCTATCAGTTAGAGGGTTTATATTGATCTCATAGTTGAGGCTACGACAATGCTTGGTGAATATAATAAACACCTTTTTTACCACCAAGAGGACTGTCTTACAATTTATCTGGATAAGCTAATGGAATGATTTTGCAGGTAGTCATGTCGATCTGCCGTATGCCTAGAATCAACAAATCGCTGCATATATAGAGCAAGAACCAAGTGAATTCAGTCAAACACCTTGGTAGAAGAAGAGATTTTTGCGCGAAGACTAGGGAAGCAAAACCAATGCAACTGACCTCTTGAGTCAATACCTTCAATTAATCAGGTCACAGATTCTTCGAAAAGTTCGAAGGTTACTTAACCGGAAATAGTGGTCTACTGCCGCTTTCGCCTTAACAAATAGATGTACCATGTGCATTTATGACAAGCCACTTAAGCAATACAACATTGAATGATGAACAGAATAGAATCTCTTATAATATCATAAATAATTTCAATTGACAGAACTAAGAAGAAGCTGTATAGACAACCAATCACATGACGGCGATCCGTTGCTATAACCAATGGCGCTAACCGGATTCGGCGCTGCAGCTCATATTTTTCACGGCTCGTCACCAGCAACCCGATCACTGTCCCCCAGCATCTAGAAGCTGATTCTTGTGCGGAGTTTGGCTTCACAATTCAAAAATACTTAATTGAATTCTTACCGCCAATTAATCTCGCACAATGGCCCAAAATTATGCCGCCTCGAAGAAGCGGCGTCGTGAGGCATTCAATGTCGACACCAAGTTGGTCGAGATATACGAGGACCTCGCCAGCGAGAAAGACGAGATTCGTTTGAAGTCCGCACAGGCTCTGGTGTCGCAGTTCACCCCCGACAAGAACCCGACCGATGAGCAGATCCAAAAGGCCCTGCAGAGACTCTTCCGTGGTCTCTGCAGTAGCCGCAAAGCTGCCCGAATCGGCTTTTCGATCGCCTTGACCGAGATCCTCACGCAGGTTCTTGCTTCCCCCAGAGATTCGTCCGACATTACGGTGTCGAAGGTCATGTCCATCTGGGAGTCGCAATCGAGTTCCTCCGGTAGTGAGTCGGGTCAGGTATGTTTTGAACCCCGTCGTGGAAAGTCTTGTACGAGTCGGTGTGCTGAATTCTTATCTACAGGAACAACGAGACCACCATTTTGGACGTCTCTTTGGAGCGGAAGCTATCATCAAGTCTTCCATTCTGTTCAAGCCTGAGGCACCGTTCAGGGAGTGGACTAAACTCTTGGACCTAGTATTTGAGCTGGCCAAGAGGAAGCCATGGATCAGGGAAGAGTGCGGCTGGATCGTCTATCGCTGTATCTATGAGCTTTCGGCCCAGAAGGCGGACACCAAATTCGTGGAAACTGCTTTAGGACAGTTGTGCTCGAACGACTTGGCGAAGACGCCTGAGGGTGTTTCCATCTGGCTGGCAGCCAAGGAACTGTTCCCGAATGTCAGCTTTCCCAGTAAAGTGTGGAAGCATGATGACCCGTTGGACGCGCGGGAGAGGAAAAGTCTTGCTAAGGTCATGAGGGACTCGTCGTCCTCTGAGTCTGAGAATGGCGACAATGCCAACGCTACTAAATCCTCTGGAGTCTGGAACTCCAAACTTCATTTTGCTTGGGAGGCTGTTATCTCTAGATTCAGCGCTGCTCCTGTGAAGGAGAAGTCTAAGAGCAAGAGCTCCTCGTCCCGTTTGAGTTTCATTGACTTCTGGACTGAAGTTGTTGACAGTGAGTTTGGTATCCTTAACCTAGTCTAGAACACTTTCTCACCCGTGACCTTACAGATGGACTTTTTGCTTCTGCTTCCTCGGAAGAGCGCAAGTACTGGGGCTTCCTTCTTTTCAACAAGGTCCTCAACGATGGCCCCTTGCACCTGGCTTCTCAGATCTTCACAAAGAACCTTGTCAGATGCCTCATGAACCAGCTCGCCGTCGACGACCGCTATCTTCACAAGATGGCCGCGAAGTCGGCAAAGACCATCCAGACTCGCGTGGCGAAAGAGCCCGAGTTCGCCGGCGCCTCCGTCATCGGACTGATGGGCTCAGCCGGATCCGTAAACTTCGACCAAGTGACCAAGACGAAAACCGTGGAGAAGATTGTGTCCGAGGCCAGCCTGGACGCGCTCAAGCAGATCGTGCCCCTTTTCTCCAAGCTGATTGCTAGCCCAGGAACGGACGACAGCAAGACTGCGGCCTCTACCCGCCAGATCCTGGCCGGCTTGCTCCTGGCTATCGTCAGATCTCAAGCCTCGACGAGCGGTGATTCTCATGGGGAAGCTGAGTCTTTGCTGGAGCATATCCTGTTCACTTTTGTTCAGTTCGCCTACTTCACTGAGGGCGAGGACAAGAAGGCTGCCGCGCAGCCAGCCCTCACTCAACAAACCCAGGAACTGTTCCGGAGCAGGATCACTTCTTGTCTCAACAGCCTGATTGCCTCTCAGAAGCACGCAGCTACCCTCCCCTACGCCGTGGTTAAAAAGATCCGCGATGCCGTCAAGTCCGAGGAATTCGGCAAGTTCATCATCAATATGGACGACACGCTAAACGAATCGGTAAAGACCGCATTCAAGTCTCTGAAGAAACTCTCCAACACCGTACGTAACTAATCCACCTTCTAGACCCGTTCAATCTCCAATGCTAATTCATTTCCAAACAGGAGAAACACAAAAACGCCGCTGGCGTCGACGCCTTCAAACTGCTCTACTCCATGACCATCCTACAGGTCTACAACGGCGACGCCGACGCCGTGTCCATGCTTGACGAGCTCGACTTCTGCTACACCAAGATCTTCGGCGACAAGAAGTCCAAGAAGGAAGAGGCTTCGGATGCATCGGACGCGCTGGTGGAAATCCTGCTGAGTTTCGCGTCCAAGCCCTCGCAGCTGTTCCGTCGTATGAGCGAGCAGGTGTTCAATGCTTTTGCGAACCAGGTCACGGAGAATGGTCTGGAGTCTTTGATCTCTGTATGTCTATCCCATATCCTCCTGTTACGAGTCTAAATGCTCCGTGTAATGGTGAAACTAACAAGGTCATTTCCATTTAGATCCTCGAAGCAAAGGAAAGTCTTGCCGGCCAACAGGAAATGTTCGACCAGCAAGACGACGAAGAAGGCGACGAGGAGATGATGGACGTGGACGGCTCAGACGATGACGAAATGGACAGCGACGTGGAAGTAGTCGACGCCGAGGGCGGCTCCGACAACGAAGACGACTCGGGCTCCGAATCCGAAGACAACGGCGCCGGCGACGAGGATGACGCAGAGACCGTCGCCTTCGAAGCCAAGCTGGCTGAAGCCCTAGGCACCCACCGCGGCGACCAAGACCTCGACGCAGAGTCCTCCGATTCGGACGCCGACATGAACGACGACGAGATGGAGCAGGTCGACGACGCACTGGTCAAGGTGTTCAAGGCGCGCCGGGACGCCCTGGGCCAGAAGAAGGACAAGAAGGATGCGCGCGAGAACATGGTCAACTTCAAGAACCGCGTGCTCGACCTCCTGGAGATCTATGTTAAGAAATGCCACTCGAGCATCCTGGCGCTGGATCTCATCCTGCCGCTGCTCCGCCTGACGCGTCGGTCGACCGTCAAGCAGGTCTCGAACAAAGCGAACGCCGTGCTGCGCGAATATACCAAGCTGTGCAAGGGCTCGTCGCTGCCTGCTATCGAGGAGACCGAGCCCGTCTGGGAGCTGCTGAAGTCCATCCATACCGAGGCGACCCGGAGTGGGCCCCCGGCTCATGCGTCTGGTTGCAGCCAGTCCAGTTTGCTGGTGGTCAAGGTGCTCGTGGCGCAGGATAAGGATGCGGTGGCTGGCGTGGTGGATGTGTATGCTGATACGCGGAAGCAACAGCTTCTGAGCAAGAAGTGTCATGTTCAGCCGTCCTTGTTTACAGACTGGAATAACTGGTGTGTTTCGGCCAGCAAGCAGATGAAGAACTAGACGGGGCTTTCACGGTGGTCGCTGTTCTGAGGAGAGTGGGAGACTGGCTGCGATGGACACAGTATGTAAAAAGACTAATTGATCATATGTACGAATTGAACTCTCAGAACTATAAACATAAAGTCGTAGCCACATCATCTGTAGACGTTTCAGGTAGGCAGTCCGAGCACATACTCATCGCCCCTCAACCAGAACCTCACTACACAAGCAAACTTTTTTATATACATGGTCGACGCCAAATCAGAAACCCTTCACATACCGATGATTCCTCGTCTCCTCCAACACCTCAAACTTCATCCCCACCTCAATGGACCCCTCGTTGCGCGGCGCACTCAGCATCCCAAAGCACGGCTTATACGTAATCCCCTCATCGATGCGCCGATACCTCATCAGCGTATTCCACGGCTGCGTCTTATGCTTGTCCGCCGTATCCGGATCCACATTGGGGACCTGACACCGCGCACATCGCGCCACAACATCAATCGTCAGCGACGACCTCCTCCCGTCCTCACCGCATCCACTAATGCGAACCACCTTCCACGAATCCTCTATCCACGGCGCACTGCCCCGAATGATCACATTCGGACGGAACCGCTCCACGGTAATCTGCTCGGCGCCGTTCTTTGCCAACCTTCCATTCAGCTCCTTCAGCGAGGCCTCGGACGCAATCAGCACCGGATGCACGTCGGGGAAGTTCGTGCTCTGCGTGCGGCCCAGAAGTCGCGGGTCGCCGTTGCCCTGGAGGACGCGCGGCGTGGGACCCTTGTAGACGAGACAGACGTCGCGCTTCAAGAAGGACGAGAAAAGGTCGTTGACCGAAGCCCCGTAGACGTGTCCGTCCGTCACGGTGTCCCAGATCTTGACCTGTGCGAGAGTTGTGTGCGCGGCCAGCCACGCCTCGTCGGGGTAGGCTGGGATGCGAACGCAGCCGTCCACGCCGGTGATGGTAAGGACGAGGGTGTCGATTTCGGCATCACTGCTGCCAGTAACATTTCCATTGGCAGTGCTATTACAGGAGGAATTCTTGTTCTTGTTGCTGTCCAACGCCGTGTTAATAAGCGTCATCTGCGGAATCTGGCGAATCGTCAAAAACTCCTTCGTGTTCGCATCGACAATCATCCACCTCCGATCGAGATCCAGACCGTGCATACGCAGCTTAGTCTTCGGGAGTTCGAGCCCGCGACATGATTTGATCGGGTACACGCGCAGTGACACAACCTCGCTCGGTGGCTGACGGGATCCTCGGAGGCGTTGTAGGAGACTGGATGCAGTGGATTGGTTGGGCTGCGTCCGGCCGGATGAGAATCGCGGAATAATGAACGCCGGGGCGGCAAGGAGGAGCAACAGGACAACTGCCGAAATAGGCGAAATGGAGTCGAACATGATGATGAATTATGGCTGGGATTTGGCTCGTTCTGCTTCCTGCAGATGGAGGGGAGGAGGGGAAATAATTACCCTTCTGCCAGTTGTGACCGCCTTGTTATCGGGGGTGGAATGATGAAGTCATTGATAAGAGATCGACAACACTATTCAGTATGCAATTATTGTAAGATCGTGGTGAATTTCCATTGGGTTGAGCTTGGTTTATCAATTCATTTCCAATAATAATGCTCTTTCGGAACATATTCCGAGACTTCGAGATACGAGTCCTGGCCTCTCCACGCTCTTAAATCCATTCACCTAATGTTGAAGAAGTTCTGCAGTAAGAAAGAAAACATCAAATGCATCAAATCACGCTACAATGCAGTTTCCTGGTCATTCTCCCCATAGATAAAACGCCCTAAATCTCCCATGCGTCATTCACTCTTCCGGCCAGTCCAATGCATGACCAACCCCTTGATCAGAGCAATTGCCGCCTCCTTGCCTTCTCGAATGGCGTCATCGCCGCAAGCCGCAGGGACGTGAAAGAACACGACATTGCGATCCTGCCCTTCCCGAAAAGCATGGGCCATGCTGGTATAGTAGATAAATTCGCACAAATAACGTCCCGCGTCATCTGAGATGCGAACGTCGGTTCCCGCGGGAACGAAGGATTTCCATAGCCCGAGAAGATCGTCGTTAGGCTGGCGAGGGGTCAAGGAAGGACGTTGTACCTGGAGGGGATCCTCCGTTGGTGATGGTGGGATTGGTTCTGCAGAAGTTGGTTTGGGGTTCGTTGCAGGTCCAGCTTGCAGCACCGCAGGCAAGCCTAGTTCGCGCCACAGCTTTTCGCCATCCTCGTAGCCGCCTTTGCCTTTGATATCGGACATGTGGTAGGCGTCCCGACGGGCCTGTGTCTCGACCGAGTAGAAGTTCCTCATGGCCGCTATACCCATATGCATCACGATGTCTGGCCGACGGCCCCCGTGGCACTTAACGTAGTCCTCGAGTATGACCGGGATGGACTCGCGCACTGTTGAATAGGCCACGGGGATCGGCTCGGGATGGGCGTGGATTGCAACCCGCCGGGACACAGACCCCGTTGCATCCGTTGTGGATAATTCAAATGATGGCGGCAGGGACGATGCAATTAAGTACGAGGCATTGACTAGGTTGGTTTTGAAAGGCTAATCGTCTCAGTCAGACAGGGACGAGAGGGTGAGATGAAACTAAAAAATTCTATCACTTACTCCGAAACCAGTAACCAAGACCGATATCTCATCAGGTTCTGCGGCATACCGAGGAGGATTGGTCGGGATTTGTGCCTTGGGTAAGGACACGTCTGGCCCATAGTCGCCCATATCTAGGTACGAAGGGGGAGCTTATCTGGTCGGAGGGGACGGATACTATACGAGATGCGTTGGGAGTAAATAAGAAGGGAGGATAAGGATATAGTACGACTTCCAGTCTCGCTGACAGCGAGAAAGAAGAGGATGGAATGACAAGATGACAGGCGGGAAAGAGAGAGAAAGGAAGAAAAAGAAAAGGTGAGAGAGAGTCAAACGTTGGTCGATCCCCCGCAATCCGAATGCGGGGCTTGGCGTCACGGGAGCAGTTTGCTTGTTTGTTTCATCTTCCAGTCGCTTCGAGATGGAGGTCCTCCTCTTGCATCGGCTGGAGTCATCCATGCAGCGTCGACAGAAGAGACGATGATCTGGCTCCATTCAGCTATGGCATTTACTCATCTACCCCTCACGGTCCACCATGATCATGCCGTCAGTCAGGTGTCAACTGACAGTAAGCGAAGTATATATCGACTGTCGCAGTCTCTACCATTCCATCGTGGGAAACCCAATGGAATTCTATCCTGGGTCAAGATATCGCTGATAATCGATCGGGTAGTATAATGCAAAGGGCTAATTATGCATTAAATAGGTAAATGCACATCAGTCGGGAATCACCGCGAGAAGACCCACAGTGTTTAAGAGTGGCCCTCCGATCTATGCTCTATCAGTAAAGAGTAAAGACCACATACATACTTTTGAGGCGGCTTTGGGAAAGTCTGTTTCGCCGAATCACATCGATATTATTAGAAAGATCTAGAATCTCGGGCTCAGACTCTTTGTGTGCACGCGACATGTCCAACATTCTCAAACGCCTAGAAGCCTTCGCTATTTCCCGGGCCGCGGATAGATGCGTTTAGGCCAACATTCAAAGAAAAAAGATGGACAACTAGAGGTAGATTCTGGACTGGTAGAATCCTGTCGGATTGTGCGGAGTATACGCTTTCCATCCTCCAAGACATCGAGGATCGTCGCACGACGCGGTGTGGAGCTGCTCGGTTAGAGTCCATCTGGGGATTTTTCCTCGCTCAGGCCCAATCGGATGGCACTTGGCACCGCCCAGCGTGGATAGTTACATGGTTTGATAATGAGGTTGATACATAAACCTTGACCTACACTTTCCGATCTTGGAAAGAGGCCAATCGCTCTGCATTGTTTGTCTGGCATCCTCAGCCGAGACCCACGCAGGGGAAATGGCAAGTGCTCCAGAAGGATCTCCCGTTGGCCACCGGTGCAGATCCCTCCTTTCTACTTAGACCGCCGTATTCTGCGTATTCAACGTTTAGGCCGTATCCAACGTATCCAGCTCTTTGCGACCGCCCCCCTATTCCGGCATCAATCCGCAGCCCCGAAGTAGTGAATGCCAGTGCCTATTCTCAATGGCTGCCTGGTTAGTGAGCGGGTTGGGACCCGGAGATTGGCGGGCAGCGCATAGGTCAATTGGCTGTCGTTCAATCGGGTTGCTATCGGAATATTCCCACCTACGCCCTCTACCTCCACGAATTTGACTTTATATACTTCCCTTAGTTCCTTTCACTTCCCCTCAAACTGCGCAACCTTTTCACTTTCATTGTTCCTTGGATGTCCATTAGTCCCCTTGACGCCTCCGACTTATTCCGCCACTATGGCTTCCATCGTTGACATTCTCGACATTAAGTCACTGATTCGAGGCCTCTCTTTGGCGTTGGTTATAGTATTTGTATCGCATTTTCTCAGAGAACTCGCAGATGGCTTCCCTTATTGGCACATTCCTATCGTGGGGCGCGGCAGATGGGAGCTTTCCAATTCTAAGGCCAAAGCACGCTACGTCCATTCGGCAAAAGAGCTTCTTAGCCAGGGTTTTAGTGAGGTATGTAGCGACATGACACCAAAGGTTCCCCTTGCTGGATCCAAAAAACAAGCTTTGCAGACTGATGGTTGAGATATAGGGCAAGAAAGTCTTTCAGCTCATGTTCGCCCACGCGATAGTGATTGTTTTGGACCCTTGTTTCGTTGATGAAGTTAAGAACAATGACAAATTTAGCTTTTCGCTGGTCACCAAGAAGGTACGTCAGTATATGAAAGGTTGTTTGTCTCTGTGCTGACTCCCGTTCAGTTGTTCTTTGGGAAAAGAATCCCGGGTTTCGAGCCCTTTGAAGGTGGAGATGATAAATACAACGTTGTTCGTGAAATGATCGGCAAGAAGCTCACATATCAAGTGCTCGGTCAGTTAAGCTCTCATCACCACAAGCCGAAAGGCTGATCTAACTTCGCCGTTCTCCTACAGGAAAACTCGTCTTGCCTCTTTCTAGAGAGACCGCCCTGGAGTTGAAGGAATCTCTTCCCGAATCACAGGGTAAGTAGCTCGTTGTGCTCAATGATCGACAGCATATCTAATAGACGTGGTCATGTTCAGAATGGCAGGAGGTCACATTTGGGTTTAAACTCCCGTACATCATCGCTCGCATATCCTCGCTAGTTTTCATGGGAGACTCGATCTGTCGCGACAAGGATTGGCAGAACGTATCAGTGATGTATGCCGTCGACGCATTCGAAGCCGCTCGTACCCTGCGACTCTGGCCAGCCATCCTGCGTCCAGTAGTGCACTGGTTCTTGCCTTGCATGCAGAAGATCCGGAGGCACATCACAGTGGCCACGGGTATCATTCAAGATGAGATAAACAGAAGAGACATGATTCGGGATGGCAAACTACCTGCAGGTCCCCCGAGAACCCACGAGGATGCCCTGGACTGGTTACCAGAGGTCGCTCGTGGCCGGCCCCTCGACCTCACGCTCTCCCAGATTGGATTATCTCTGGCCTCCATCCACACGACCTCGAATTTCTTGCTCAACGTCATGTACGACCTTGCCATGTACGATGAATATGTGCCGATATTGAGAGATGAGATTAAGGCTGTCGTGGAAGAAGATGGGATCCTGAGGAAGAGTTGTCTCATGAAGTTGAAGAAAATGGATAGCTTTTTGAAAGAATCTCAGCGGATGAACCCCATCAGTCTGGGTATGATATTGCCTACCTTATTACCTCACATCCTTCCTAGTCACTGATATGGCAACACCAATGCAGCCTTCCTCAACCGCGTCGCCCTCGAAGACGTCACCCTATCTGACGGAACTCTCATCCCGAAAGGCGCCACGATCTCCATCTCCGCGCACGTCATGCAGGACGAGACTGTATACCCGAACGCACAGAACTTTGACGGTCTTCGCTTCTGGAATCTGCGCCAAAAGCCTGGGAACGAGACGCGGTACCAGCTGGCGTCGACGAGCGCCGAGCATTTCGGGTTCGGTCACGGCCTGCACGCATGCACGGGACGATTCTTCGCCACGACCGAGGTCAAGATTATGCTCGTTCACTTGCTCATGAAGTACGATTGGAAATTCGCCGACCGCACGAGCCGACCGAGCTCGATCATGCACGGGATGGAAATTCTCAGCGACCCGACGGTCAAGTTGATGTATCGGTCTCGGGAGCCGGAAATCAGCCTTGGGAAGTTGGGCGAGGAGGTCGAATCGGGTGTATCTAGCAGCAGTGGCGAGAGTTCTGATGTTCTGTAGCGAAGATTGTCCCTATCGATGATTGCTCAGTGGGCAGTGCCTTTGCCATATGGGGTATCGGGTATCTCTATTTCTTTTCTTTTGCTCATCTGATGACCTCATGTCCTTGCTGCTTTGGATTTTTGAATTTCTTTTTTTTCTTTTAAAGACTTTTTATCTGTTCTCAAACCCCCTGGGTGGAAGCGCATTGTGCTTGTCAATGCTTTTTTCTTCTTCTCCGAACACATGCTACTACTACGTACCTACCACCAAATCGTCATGCCAGAATCGATTGCTACCGGTGAGGGCTACCGGTAGCAAACAATCCGGTTTCTCAACTACATTGATGCAAGGGAATCTCAAGTGTACATGTACGCGGTAGAAGCTAGGTAGATACGTAAGCACAGGTGCATATGTACATAGGTACAAAGTCAACGTTTCCACGCGCATGTCCCGACAAGGCGCTGTTTTCTTCGACATTGGAATTTCGACTTGAAGATTCAAGGGCAGCGATGAAGTCCATCAGGATAACATGGGAAATAGTAGGAATGAGCTACGGAATGCGAGCACAGAGCCCGCTCAGTTGGCTATATGTATATACCCTCGTCCTCTCTCTCAGGCACTAACGGGATGGGTACTACTTGACTACCTACTGCCACCCCCTCCACTTGAGAGAGGACCGAGCATGAACCACTGCATGCATCTGCATCTGCATCTATTCCATTCCTAACGTACCTGTGCATTTGCAGGCAGAGCCAGCAAGGGAGACGAGGAGATGAAGGATTTGGTTGGGATGGGGGAAACGGGTTGGCATTTCTGAATTTTGGCGTTTGCTTTGATCGAGGACACGCCAGCCAAAAGCAACAGAAAGTAGAAGTAGAAGCTAGGTAAAATCGGAATACGATCAAAATAAAACGTGGCACCTGTCCCGGGATCCAGTGTCCACAATCAAGCTGTGTATGACTATGACAGTATGACTACTGTTCTGAAAATCCATCAGCTAATGAAATGATATTCACACCAAAGAAAAGATGACATCGCCAAGGGTGGGGGACGACTTCACCGAAAACCAGGAAATTCCTGTATAGATATTCGATGGGCTGGTTAGCAACTTAGCAAGTGGCAAGACCCCGCTGTGCTAGGGAGAGAAATCAAGGATATTATTAGAAGCTGATGGCAGATTGGCGGTGGGCAAGCTCCTCCCGAGTTCTCCAGTGAGACTGAGAAGGATGGGTTCCTGCATAGACCCATTGGGAAGTGGTTCCCAGAGGAGGACACAAAGAAAAGGCCCCCAAGGCCGGCGAGGGAGAGGTGATTACCGAAGAGGGCAAAGACGATGCCGCTACGCAGACGATCTAAAAGGGCCTTAGGGCCTTAGTGCCTTAGTCCAGGAACGGGCCAGCCATGAGTATCGGCGGAACGAGCAGCACGGACACTGAGTGGCGAGATCGCGCCCGGAGACCGTACCGTTACCTACGCGCGCG